ACAAACACTGGCTGAGTAACAACAATATGAACATTACACAAGCGTTAAATTGATATAAAACACGCAGGAAAGTTAAATTCTAGAATTTTATTTCAAAAAATGTCATCAATATTTACCTTCTGACCAACATGACACGTGAAATTAGGATTTAACTAAAAAACTTTCGAAAAAAAAAATTTTCACAAAAAAATATCAAAATGCTTTAAATTGATGAAAAACATGCAGATATTGCAGAAATATGCACATATTGCATCGCATGATAAAGTTATTGCCTCGTTTGCATTTATAAACAAAGAGCTGGGTGAGATATGGCCAAGGATTTCCTTCGCTTTCTGAGTCCTCTGCTCCACGGGACACAGCTGTCTCTCATTCAACATAGTGGGCAATCTGTTTCCCACACTAGACTGTTTTTTCCTGCATTTAATTTTTTACTTACTTATTTTTTACATTTACACCACTGGGTAAATTATCTGACAACTGGCTTATCAGTGCCTAATATAAAGACTGCTGGGCGAAGGCTCATCAATTGATTAAAATCGTTTGACATCTCTAACACGAGGGAGACGCCAATTGTAATTCATATGCAGGGAAAAAACAGTGTCAACTTGTCACCATATCCTCAACACTATTGAAGTGTTGTTAGTGACGTAACTGTTTCTAGTTCTTTATCATTGTTTATAATTTTTTTAATCTTTTTTTTATTTTACTTTTTTATTATGCCACTTAAAATAAAAAGCAAAACATGATAAATTATGATTAATCATGCTCAATTAATAGCTTCCCTCCAATAAATTATATTAAAAGAATATATTTTTGACAACCTTAAAAATAACAAATAAATAAACATAATACAAATCCTGCATGAGACAGACAGTAAACATAACTGATAAAGACTGCATTTAACAGCAATAAAATATTTCAGGCACAGAAAAAAAAACCTGACAGAAAAAAATAAACAAGAACTATATCAAGTTATAAATATGTTCACACAGTGTCTGCATCTCTGAACCTGACTAAGGTGTTTAAATGATAAGTTGTGTTTTCCTGTCAAACCTTTTTTACTGTGTTTCTGCAGCTTTTGTCTCATGGACCTCTGGTCCAAACCAAACCTCCAGTCACCAAGGGCTTTTGGTGCCACAAAAAATGAGGTTGCATGTGAATGTACGTATGAGTTGTCCATATGTGGACATTGGTGTCCTGGTGGACACTGAGGGACTGACGGTGTTGAAAATCACTGCAATCTAACACCATGTGGTCTGATCTCAGGCTGAGAGCTCCTGAATGTAGATCTAGCTACAGTCATTCACAACACAGTCACTCAGCCACTGAACACAACAGGGGGGCTCACAGAGGAGTCTCGGAAATGACCAAGTTATCAGTGTGTCCATACTGTAGGTTGGTTCTGTTCTCATAAGCCTGAAAACAGAACAAACAAACAATGACATAAAAACAATACTTTTTGCTGTTAACTGTAAATCTTAGATCCTGTTGATAGGTCTAGGTAAAAAATACTGAATATTTATTTTTTTACATACTTTTTATACTATAGTGATAACAACCTGAAACTTTTTATCACACCATAGCCCAGCCAGCACTGATATTCAAACCAAAACCATCTCATTACAAGGCTGATCCTGCAACCTCTCGGCCAGGGCTGCCACCGAGAAATTTTTTTTTTTTCAACATTTGAAGTAGAATGATTAACACTTAATCAACAAAATGTCAATGAGAAAAAACGATATACCTGGTAAATTTGGCCAATTAAACAAAGGTTTTTGGTAAATGTGACTTTTGGTAAATGTGACTTTTGTTTGTGGTATGAATTTAAAATAATTATTTAATTAAAAAAAATGTATAAAAAGTTGAAAACTCTTGTTTGATTCAAGCACTTTTGTCAAAAATGTTTCCAATGTTTTTCACAGTACATCTTCATTTATCACAAATTCATATTAATAAAACTACTTTCAAATGAGAATAAAAATGAAAATTCACCCGTTCAGCAGTTAGGAGCAGAGCCGCTGCCTCCTGTTTGCCAGTCTGCTGCACCATGTGGTAAAAGAGTCCCTCTGAATCTTGAAGCAGGACATGAGGTGCATCACAGGCCTGGATCCTTCCTGCATCCAGAACCTGGAGACACAAATGTGACACGTTTTCTACCTTACAGCTTTTTGACCAACAAGTTCCGACATTACTGTAAACTGAAAACCTTCTATGAAGCAAATGCACTGGTGTAGTTTTTGTCTAGTTGTTGATCTTGATCTTGTTGAGCTTTATGTATTGTAGCAAGACCACAAACCACTGAACAACAGGAGCCCAAACCTGAAGGACTGTGTTTCAGCCAATCATCTCCTGTTATAGTTTCTGAAATTATTCCTTTTTCCCATCCAACAATCATAAATTATAAACAGTTATTTTTTTAATTATGAACATTATTTTTTGGCCATTTGCACATCATAACATACAAAGAAAGAAATAATTTGTTCTCACCAGGATACGATCACTGTCTATGATGGTGTTGAGACGATGAGCGATGGTGAGGACGGTGCAGTCCTTGAACTTGTCTCTGATTGTCTTCTGGATCAGTTCATCTGTTCTGCACACAGAAAGTATGAACAAAGTCATATTAAATAGCAAAACAATCAATCAGAACAATAGACAAAGGTAATATTTATTAAGTTCAAAATAATTGTGTTTTATATTTCTGCAAAAATCAATAATACTACAATAACCTGAACATCCTCACTTGAGCTAAATCTGCCGTGTCACTGAGATTTTGGCCGTTCAGGTCAGAGAAAACATTCTAAGACAGCAAGTCTGTCTCTGAACTGCTCTGTGATCACAGCACAAATCAAAGTCAACTGAAAACTGTACCTGAGGTCCACGTTGGCCGTAGCCTCATCAATGATCAGGATGCGGTTCTTCCTCAGGAGAGCTCTGGCCAGACAGACCAGCTGTCTCTGACCCACACTGAAGTTGGAGCCTGACTCTGACAGAACTGTGTCCATCTTTCCATGTAGTTCCTCCACCACAGGCTTCAGCTGAACCTACAGAAGGACAGAGCCAAACACAACTTTGTGTTTTCAATAAATATTTCTCTTAATAATTTCTATTGTCAAAAGAATAAAAATGTGATCTGATTAATCACAATTCAGCTGTGGATTAATCATAGTTAGAATTATGATTATCACAATTAATCGTGGTTGTAATTAGGCATAATTAGTCACTATAATTCAGATTAATGGACTAAAAGGAAATTCAGTATACTAATGCAACAGAAGGGCAAATAACAGCAGTTAGAGATATGTATTTCACACCTGTTTAAAACACACTAAAATGTTAATACAACTGATCCTCACTAATTAACACATTAATTTCGACATCCCTAATATTAACTAACAAACAGAGATTGTAAAACGACTATAAAAGTGCACTGATAAACACTGATAAACAAACAATAACATTGATAATCCTGAAAGAAAATATTGTGGATAGCAGACTGCAATGGATTCTGATAACTTCGTATTAATGCAAGTCAAATGAAGTTCCCCTTTGCAATTTGTCTGCTGATTTTTTGTTCAGCTAGCTCTGAAAAAGCTTGAAGAAAGTTCAATTTTATTTAGCACACCAGCTTCCAGTTCACTGCATATTTCTTAAAAGTCAACTTGGCAAGTATGCACACGAAAATACTTAAATGTACATTTAAAAAAATGGTATTTGGACTCAATCCTCTGTCTGTGTCATTCACCTCTTCTAGAACATCCCACAGTTCTTCATCTGTGTGTTGGTCAAAAGGGTCCAGGTTCTTCCTCATTGAGCCACTAAACAGCATTGGGTCCTGGAGAAAAAAGAAAGAGAGATGATAACTTACTGATGAACTTAAAAAGGTTTGCATGGCCTTTTTCAACTATTTGTTTTCAACAGTTTAGGGTTAATGAACATATGTCAAGAACTGGATGTTAACTATTGCGTAGTGATAAAGTATTTACCTGTGGAATGATGGTTATTTTCTGGCGAAGATCGTGGAGGCCAATGTCAGAGATCAGAACTCCATCGATGTAGATGTTTCCCTCTGGCTCCGAGAGACGAAAGAGAGCTGATGTCAGGGAGCTTTTCCCAGCACCTGTTCTCCCAACAATACCAACCTGACAAACAGGAACACACAACTGATTTTTAATAAACACAATAAAACTGAAGAAATATTTTTTTATCTTTTATCAGACAAACCTTTTCATTAGGTCTGAACATAACGTTCAAGTCCTTCAGCACCAGCGGTCCATCACTGCCATAGGCAAAGTTGACCTGGTCAAAGGTTATCATGCCTTTTCTGGGCCAATCGGGAGGAGGACGTTTCTCTGTTTCCCAGGGTGCTTCATTATCCAATTCAGTGAACGCCACGACTCTCTCTAATGATGTCATCTGAAACAGATAAAGGAAGCACGTGACCTGTGTTAGTGTCATTCATGTTGAAATAAAAACAACGACTGAAAATGACCAAAATCTCAACCACTGGAAGTGCTGTGCAGTGATTTGTCTTCACATTATATACATATAATCATACATAAACAGATTTAATAAATAAAAAAAAAGTTTATTTAAAGCACCTGAGATGTTTTGTTTCAAAAGATAAATTTTGCTGAGAAAACGTGAAAAACGTAAAAAAGAAAACATAAACCTTAACCAGCTAGAAATAAGCACCAATATGTAAGGGAAGAAAAACACAACCCTAAAAATGACAGAAATGACAGACGGACAGGAATCACAGAGTTACAGCAGCAACATTCCCATCTCTGGATTAACGCAGATAGTGGAACTCGCCTTTTTAATCGGTTTGCTAAATAGTTTGTTAGGTGTATTGTAACAATGTTACTGCACTGATTCATCAGAAACAGGTTTGCAATGTACTCATTATGTTATAAGAAGAAAATGTTCTCAGGATCTGAAAAACAATGTATACAAAAATATTGGTCTCTTAATATTTGTTGATGAAAGTACAAGATTTGTATCCTCCAATAGCCATTTGACAGTGACAATACTAGGGATAAGCACAAAGATGTCAATAAATCAAATTTGTGATTCATTTCTGATTAATCTGAGTGAATCTGTAGCTTTTTAGAAAATATTCCCACTAATTAAATAAATGTCCAGACAAAGAAACTGTTACCATGCTTTCAAGTTCTGCGCTCTGCCTGACCACCCACTGGAATACAGAGACCAGTGAGATGCAGTAGGTGAGAGCCAAACCAACAGAGCCAGCACCCACCTCTGAAAAACAACAGAAAATAATGTCAGCCAACGTCTGGTGTCTACTGCCCTTCAAATATCTCCCATAAATCAAAATTAAAACTCAAACAGCTTTTTAGAATGAAAATCTTCTTACGGCTTCTAAGTAATAGGAGGCCAAAGGTAACAAATAAAACAAAGAGGGCACTGAGGATGTCCAGACGCTGGGAAAACCAGCGGGAGGTGGTCAGGAACAGGAACCAGGCTTCTGTTTATCAAAAGACATTGAGACTTGACTACCAAACAGTTGTACAAAGAAGCTGTAAAGTAAGGCTCATTGTCAAACAGACTGTGGTTTACCTGAGTGGAGGTCCTGACAGATATCAAACATATTCTGGAACTTTTCTTCTGCTCCAAAGGCTCTGATTGTCCACAGACCATTTAGGGAAGAAGAAACATGGGAAAAGACTGGACTGCGAGCTGCAGTGAAATAACAGAGGAGCAGACCCTAATATTTTCATTTCAGCTGCAACTGATGACTTTTGCTCATAAACATCTAATTCTCTGTTTAAAGATGTTGCAACCATTTTAGTGTAGAAATATAGCAACATGTGCTCTTGCAGTTGAAAAATCTTTCATTTTCCTTCAGCTTCATTGTGGCACACTTACTGGTGCCTTCAAGGCGTTTGACGTCCCTGGAGGTCTGTATGTAGTACCGGCGGAGAAGGAAGAAGACAGCTGTAAGAATAACAACTGGGATGAACAGCCAAGGGTTCATGGATGCTGTTAGAAGAACGATCCCAAACACATTCAGGGACAACTGCATTAAGAGAAAAGTGAGCATTGTGAGCACAAAGGAAGATAATGTAATGTCACAGCACAGCACAAAGTCAACACATTATACTTTTATTACTTCCTCTGTCCACAGAATGAGGAAAAAAATACTCCTTCCATGTGCTCATACATGGCCCCATTTTCATTAATGTCTCTCTAATGTTGATGCAAACTTGATGTCACAGTATAATTTTAGTTGTGACCATTTTTACATTTTTACCTGTTTATCTGAACTTTGTTGTATTCAGGGATCAGTTATACTTATATACATGTAATATATAAGTGTACTTATATAATATATGTAAAAATATATAAAATGTGTGTGTGTATATATATATATTGTCCATCCATCCATCCATTTTCATCCGCTTATCCATTACCGGGTCGCGGGGGCAGCAGTCTCCACCCAAATCACACCGTATCAACCCCCCTGAACCTTCCTGTGGGTGGTGAGTCCACTGGAAGGTACCAACCGCCCTAACTGGGATTCGAACTTGCCCAGGAGGTGAACCCTGGGCTTCCACACCAATGACAGAGACATTGCCTCTGGGCCAAAGCGCCACTTACATATATTGTATTTATAATAAATATTTTTTGCAAGATGACAGGCTGATCAATGAAATAGCTTTTTCATAAGATACCAGCAGAAGACCTTAAAAACTAAATCTGAACCCACCTGCTTGAAGTCTGAAAAGGTAAATGCCAGGTTTGAATCCAACACTCCAATATCCTTTGAAAACCTGTTCAGAATTCGCCCTGATGTGAGATAACATATGAATCAGAAATATCCAACGTTACATGAAAAAATACATCCTCCTTGTCTTTTCTTGCAATTTCATCTCACTGGCTATATTTAGAGGTTTCTCTTCTCTACTCACCAACAGGATTGGTGTCAAAGAAACGTACAGGAGCTCTGAGCACAGTGTCGAACATTTGGTTGTGTAGAATCTTTGCACTCATTATCAACAAATAGAAGAGTAGTAAAGACCTGGCAAAGCTAAAGAAGACGGTTGCTGCAGTGAGACCTGTCAAGAGAGCATAATCTTTTTAATCTTTGACTTAATCTCAGACATCGCCACTGCATGTGTGGAACAGATTAAACTTGTATCTCAAAGCCCCGCTGTGTATATATATATATATATATATATATATGGCATATGTATGTAGGTAAGTATGAGTAGGTGGTTTGTGTCATTCACCTGCATAAATGCCCAGATAAAAGTCTCTGTCAAGCTGTGCTGTCATGTTTTGTGAATTTTCTATCACAGTGCTGTTGATCATTAGCTTTGCTTGCTGATCAGACCTGATGAATTTCACAGTAGTACAAGTTAGAGAGGTCAATAATTTAGTTCAAGGTCATCTTTTGTTTTCTTTATACTGACCAGTAAGCTAGCCACCAGTCCTGCAGTAGAAACGTTACCTATACAAAAAATATATATATATATAAGATTAATATTTACATTTCCTCATTTGGTCATACCTCATCACAGAGTAGTTATTTTAGAAATAAAGTTTCACCTCAACACAAACACCCATCACAAGGACCACAGTTATCCATATAACACCTGTTCCAGCTGTTAAATATTTCACATACAGACTTGCTGGAACAGTTCCCTGTGCTCGGCTCTCCTCTGCCAGCCTGGGCACATTCTTCACCTGAGAGAATAAATCTGGATGAAGCAGTGTCAGCACTGAACATGCACAGTTAATAAAAAGGCTTTTGGTTGGTACAAGAAGAAGAACTAGCTGTCTGACATTACTCACACAACTCTAACAGCCTTTTATTGCATTGGCCTCAGTACCAGTGAAATAAACAGCTTCACTGCATCAAATTACAGTTTCATATTTTTACCAAACTTTGTACCATAGCTACAGTAACAGCTCTAATGTAAATCTGTGTACGTTACACAGTAAAATTGTTACATGACAAAACTCACTTTTTTAGTACCCAAAAGATAATCAAGAGAAGAAAGATTTGTTACTGGTAAGTTGCAGTATATAAGTAACTGCTAAATGTGACGGAAGTTAAAGAGGTTTGTCTTCCAAATTCTTTCAACAGTGTAAGGACTGGAGAAACAAAAAGGGGAAACCTTACAAGGAACATCTCTAAAAAAGCTACTTGAATCTAAAGCTAACTATACAAAGTTACATATACTATCCAAAGAAATATACTCACTGGTAACTGGTCATCATCTTTTAGGCACTGGGTAGAAAAGGACTGTGAGCGTGAGGATTTCTTAGATGGCGATCTTTGGAGCCCACCTGTAGGGGGCTGCTGTCGCTCTTCATCCACCTCTTTCTTCAGTAAAGAGGTGAAGTCCAATCCTGACTTCTGTAGCTCTGTGTACGTTCCCTTTGTCACCATGTAACCCTGACACACACAAGTCAATGACACTTACACAAATTAGATTTTAATTTACTATTGAAGCCTGAACATGTTTCCATTAACATGCTAGAATCAAGTAAAGGAAGCGTTTTTTCTTCTTCAAGGAGTCAAGCAGTTCACACAGAGATTAAAAGATGTGTCGTTCGTTTGACAGCTGACATACCTGTGGTAGTTTTGGAGATTTTGTGAATCCTTTACAGTACATATATACTAACCTCATTAAGAACCAGAATTTCATCTGCTGCATTCAAGTAATGCAGTTGGTGGGTAACCAGGACACAGGCTTTTTCCTTCAGAAGACCACAGATACACCTGATATAGAGATAGCACTTTGTTCACTTCCTGAACTACAGTGCAGATGTACCAAATTCTCATTTTATAAGAAGCTTTACATTTGGGAAAAAAATAGGAAAATGCAATGGGATGAAACGAAAACTTCAGGGACAATAAGAAAGAACTCTAACCCTGAAGTCACTCACTGTTCAAAGATGTGTCTCCCAACCTCAGCATCAACAGCACTTAAAGGATCATCCAGGAGGTAGAGATCTGCATCCTCATAAACAGCTCTGGAATCAAAAATGTAGACTTAGATCAAGGTCAGTTACAACATGTAAACCAGTTTATGGTAACAGAGATCTTAATAGTCCACTAGTGTGAACTATCGTCCCCGTAGGTACGGCAGCTTTTAACACCATCAGAAAATATATGTCAACAAAAGGTATTGATAATACCACACTGCCATTAATAATAAAGCTTTGTAGCAACGGTTTGCTAATGCCAGTGTTCTCCCTACACAGTCAAAGGGCTTTAAAATTGTGTAAGGTTGGACTTCTCATAGTAAAAGACATGGTGTACTTGTGTACCACTGACAGGACAGGATAGAAGTTACCCTCTCTTCTTAGTTGTGTGTGGTACAAAGCTTGGATTAGAGGAGGCAGAGGTGTCATACCTATGTGCAAAATATAAAAAGTGAATAGAATTATTGGGCCAACATTGTATCAATACCTTGCCAGGTTGACACGTGCTTTCTGACCACCACTAAGTGTGACACCGCGGTCTCCAACTAATGTGAGGTCTCCATCAGGAAGCAGCTCCAGGTCCTGTGTGTTTAACCAGCACAATATTATTCACAATGACAACAATAATTACACTAGAGTCAAAAGATAAGGTGTGTGGTGAATGGCCAAAAAAAAAATCTGTCTCCTCTGTGTTTTTTCTGGTTGAGGTCCATTTAAGGTAATAATTCAGAACATATCTTTTTGAACACAATACCAGTAAGCAAATTCTAGCTGTTTACTGTAAATTGGTCAGTTGACATGGGAATATTTTTAATAATAATAATAATATTTTTTTTCCTCAGATTTAGTCTTTGTTTGTCCAAATTTCACCTTACCTTTTTTAGGTACTTTTTTCTGTGAGCAACAGTCTCTTACCCTCTTCAGAGCACAGGCTTTAAGAACCCTCTCGTACTTCTCTGGGTCCAGTTCTCTTCCAAACAAGATGTTACTACGGATGGTTCCAGAGAAAACCCAGGGCTGCTGGGAAGCGTAGGTCAGCTTACCGGTGACCCTCAATGTGCCCTTTTCAACAGGCAGTTCACCGAGGATGGCACATAACAGAGAGGACTGAAGACACAAAGTAATTTAACACATGTCTGGGGGGCAAGAAACACAAAAACAATTTTTGAAAAGATGCTTTCTGATTGGATGGAAATGAAAACAACAGACCTTTCCAGCTCCGACTGGACCAATTACAGCTAACAGCTTATTAGAGCTCAGACTGAAGGAGACATCCTGCAGAGATGGAGTATCTACAGTCTGTCCAGAAAAAAACATGATGACCGATAAGAAAAATTGCATGTACATATGAAAATAATAAATAGTAGTTCAATGTGTTCATATTCAACATTAGAATTAGGAAGGTGTCCAGCAGAAACATTATTATTTATTTTATTATTATTAGTTTCGACAATATCGGCCAGATGGGCGCGCTTGGAGTCACAGATCAATAGGGACGGAGATTTGTCGAAAAGGGTAGTGGCATAAGTTGGACACTGGAGGACGCTGTTGTTGTTGTTCGCCCTCTTTTTTAATGAAAATAGTAAAGGAATATGTATGGATTCTTTTTGAATGATGTAAATTTGTAAAACTGAAGCACTATTTTTTTACTGTGTCCCACTGTGGTCCGATAGCAAACAACATAGGGACCAGCACCGATCAAAGGACCAGGGGTTTAGGACCCCCGCCCTTGACCATGGTGTAATTGTGCTGTTATTAATAATATATTCTTTTTGACATTTTTTATTTTTATTTTGTGACAGGATTGTAATACAGCGTTTACATTTGGCCAATAAACAGTGGTATATCGCCGCTCACAAAAGAATTTTTTGTTTACAGAACAAGAAACAAAGTACAGAAATCAGATGAATTAAATGTGAAAACTTTGAACAAACTGGGAAAGGTCGGTGTATAAAAGAGTGAATATAGAATTAGCTTCCAGGGAGTTTTGAAATAAAATATAGGCAATACAAGTGTGTTGTTACTAATAATATTAATATCAAGCGAAAGGACTACAACAATGGCACATGCCAAATTCGATATCCACCTCATGCCTTGTTTAACAGGACTACAACAATGGCACATGCCAAATCGATATCCACCTCATGCCTTGTTTAATGTGTGCCGTCACGTTACTTACTCCTGTCACATACTTCAATGTCAGCAATATTCAAGAAACATAGTCAAGTTAATGGTTGAGAGAAAAAAAATGTGTGATTGAGTATTGTGCCAACATCTAATGAAAGTTAAAGGGTTTTAAGGTAACAGATTGATGTGTGTAATCTACCTATGACCTCGTGCATAAAGATATTGCCCATGTCCAACAATATATAATTTGCACTGATTTGCATTTGAGCATGAGTGGCTTGCAGCGCTTAAAATGAATTATCCACATATCCAAAGAGGGTCTGTGTTTGTTGACTATATTTTATTATATATTGATAACAGAGTTATCTGACCTGGTCCCAGAAGCAGATAAGGTCCTGGACTTCTACACAAGCATCTGTCTTCTCAGTGGGTGGCAGAGCTTCACAATGTTTTTTAACCTCATCCAGCATCAAGAACTCCTTTAAAAAAACAGAAAGGACAAACTCTAGAGAATTATTGTCAACGTAATTTACAGGACAAAACATCCCATCACACCACATATGTTGTGTACTACCTGAATCCTGTCGATGCTGACCAGGCTCTCAAATATATTGGCAACAGCTAGGGGAAAGAAGAGTGTGAGAGACAGTCGAATACAGGAGTAGAGTGATGTTGTCACAAACACCGCAGAGGCTGTGATTATGTTTCCCAGGAGAACGTAGGTAGTAAAGGTGAAAAAATAAAGGAGCTTGCTGGTGCTGTGGAACAAGGCCAGGTTTATTCCTTGCAAAAAAGCAGTTTGCAAGATGCTGGAGATCTCCTGCCTAAAATGACAGATTAATCAAACACATTACTTAAAACCAAAAAAATCTGTTTTGACCATTAACTTATGTTAAATGATCAAGTATCACAAGCAGTTAGATGCAAATACACACTGAGGTGCTGCATGCCACTCATGACTGGTCAAATATTTGACTTCACTTGTCACACTACTAATGTTGCAACCAACTCTGTGATCCTCTACACCAGTGTGGCACAGATGTTGGGAGAGATCATCAAATGTGATGTGGAATTTTATACAATTTAACTTAAATGTAACACATATGACCTGATCTTACCAGCACACTGTTGTACATTAGAGGCCGCAATGTTTTTTTAAATAATCAATTATTGATTTTCTTTATATAATATAAATTCATAGATGTTCGAGAGACAATCAAAATGCATTACCACAGGGAATGTTTATCCCACATTTACTAAATTGGTGTTTTAAGCTTGTTAGTTATACTGTGAAATATACTAAAGAATACTATAGACTATACTTTAAACTGTAAAATAATACATTTTTAGAGGACATCCAGGTTTTTTTTTTACCTTCTAATGTCAGAGACCATAGCAGCAAAAGGTTTCTCCCATGCGTACATCTTTATGATTCGGATTCCAGATACTACTTCATTCATTGTACGCATTCTGATGTCAGTCAGAAATGCTGCTGAGCTCCTTCAGACAAAGAAGAAAGACTCCCGTTAACACTGTTCCATACAAGTCTGGCAGTTCACTGATGAGCAGTCTGACAGTTGGAAAAAAAGCAGTGGGGAATTTCGGCTTTAAATAGTGAAATCTAGAAACTTCTTACAAGTATATCCAATACTGTTAGAAAACTTGAGAACAAACTTTACTAAATGACAACACACTTTACTACACTACAAATCTGGAGTCATTCACATGGAAACCCAATGGTGTTTTGCTGTTAAAAGACAACTGGCAAACATTTACACTGCCACTCAGTTGGATTGGTGATATTCCTTTGGTTTTGACCTGCACTAATTTCAGTTCTAGTTGCTATGAGCAGTGGTGGCTTAGTGGTTAAGGAAGCGCACTTGGGTTTGGAAGGCTTCAGGTTTGAGTCCACTAGCTGCCAAGTTACTACTGAGGTGCTCTGAGCAAGGCACCGTCCCCACTCACTGCTCCCCGGGCGCTTAAAGCTGCCCACTGTTCACTTCAGTGATGGGTTGTGTGCAGTGTGCTGTGTCACAATGAAAAGAGTTCACTTTCCACTATTAATTTATATAATATAAATGTAATATGTATTCTCAATAAAAAACAGAGTTGTGAACAGGTTTGTTCTTGTGTGTTACCTGAATTTGGCAAAGAGTTTTCCAAACATGGACTGCATGGGGATCAGGATTAAAATGACTGCCAGTCCTGCCAAGCAAGAGGGACCAATCCTGAACCACAGCAGTGTTAAAACAACAACCAACTGGATGGGTGCAATATACAGAGAGTGCACGAAGACTGATACCTGTTTAACAGAATTTGCATAAAATTATAACTTACACATAGATTTGTACCATAATTTTGTTTGTACAATGTAAATTGATTAAAACAATCAATTTCAAATAATAATTGTAAAAGAACTCTCACTTCTCAAGACGTTGGAATGTTCTGTCAATCAAAAATGAAACTAGTAATATTTCTGTGTTGAGGTTGCAACAATTCTAATTGAGGAGCTCATTGTGATATACAGCTATTTGGCAAATGGAATAAAATGCATGATTTTTTTTACTTTTTTACATAAATTAGAGTTGAGAAGTTTGTTAGCCAATCCTTCTTGGAACAGATTTCTTACAAAATAAAAGCTGGTGAGCAAAAGACATTTACAATAATACTTTTTATTATTACTTATTATTATTTTAAAAACTGTAATAACACATGATAAAATAATTGTTAATAAATTAATGAGTTAACGCAATAATGATGTGTTAAGTTGCCCAGCCCTAGTTGTACCACAAAGAGGAAAATGGTTCTTAACCTCCACATACTTCATCAAACCTGTTGACGTCATTGGAAAGAAGGTTGACAATCTGGCCCACAGTGGTCTTCATCATGGCTGAATTGCTGAGACGCAGTGCCTAGAAGAGTTCCAATTGGTTAGGCTATATCAAATCTCATTTCAGCCACTTGTATCCAGGATCTAGTTCTTTTGGTCATGACCAGAGTTCATTACAATAGGTGAGAGTAGGAATGTAGATTGATCTGTAAATCGAGAACTTTATCTTTGGGCTCAGCTCCTTCTTCACCACAATGAACTGATACAGCGACCGCATTAGTGCGGCTGCAGCACCGATCCGTCTGTCAATCTCACGTTCCTTCCCTCTTTCGTCAACATGACCCCATGATACTTTAACTCCTCCACCTGCGGCAGGATCTCTGCCCCGACCTGAAAGGTGCAAGCCAACATTTTCCAGTCAATTGAACCTTAGAGCACCCTGTGAAGGGTACAGAGCTGGTCCAGTGTTCCATGGGCAGGACGAAAACTGCATTATTCCTCTTAGATCAGAGGTTCAACTATTGGTCGAATTCCTCTCTCTAGTACCCAGGAATAGACATTCCCTGGCAGACTGAGGAGTTTTATTACCCGGTAATAGGTGCACACCCTCCGGTCCCCCTTTTAAAAAGAGGGACCATCACCCCTGGCGCCCTGCCACCGAGTAGCTTCTTGGACACCTTGGTGGCCTTCCTGCGGGTGGTGGGCCTACTGGAAGGCGGGGCCACGTCCGGCCATCAGGCGCTCGCCTGCAAGCCCTGACAACATACCTCCTAGGTTCATTCGGATATTTAAACCCCTCGCCACCTTAAGGTTGCGGTTCAAGGATGGGGTTTGGATCCCATACTAACTAATTCAGATGCAATTAAACCACATTAAACGACTGCAGGGTTCCGATCCGCGTGTGTGTAAACAAAATTCCAAACTTTCACAAATCCCAGAGTCTCATGCATGCTCATCTCCGAACTCCTGTAATCTTTCCTCCCTATTTTTACCAGTGTTTTTAAAAATGGCTGACAAGTCAGACCATGGCGCTGTTCGGTGGATGAGACAAAATTATTGATTGCTAAAATGTATGGGGACAAGAAAACGTACAGCTTGAATTGAAGGGGTCTGTGCACCCCAAAGGCAGCCTTACACGAGTAACAAAACTTTAAAATAAGACTGTTATTCAGGCCCCATACTGATTCCAGGTATCGGTACTTACTCACCCCTGGTAAGCATAGTACTGTATGGTCCGGTGTAGAGCTGTTTGTAAAGAGATATTAAGGTAATCAACCACAGCATAAAGCTATGGGAGGAAGTGTTTGAAGCTTGGTTTAGAGTTACGCCATGAAAGAGTCCAAAATACAATTTTGATGTGTGAAAGATTGTAGCGAGCTGCACTGTCTTTGTGGAGCTTGAGAAAGCCTATGGTAGAGTGTACATCAAGATTTTCTAAGGGTTAAAGTCAGCTTTAAGACCTTTCACCTATTGCATAGATATATTTATCATTGAGCTCAGACCTGAAATCATTTACAATTACAGCTGTGTAATCTATAAAAAAATAGGCAACAGTTGATGTCGCGGCGTGTAATCGTCCTGCCGTCGGGCGCTCGCCTGCCAGCCCTGACAACATACCTCCTAGGTTCATTCGGATATTTAAACCCCTCGCCACCTTAAGGTTGCGGTTCAAGGATGGGGTTTGGATCCCATACTAACTAATTCAGATGCAATTAAACCACATTAAACGACTGCAGGGTTCCGATCCGCGTGTGTGTAAACAAAATTCCAAACTTTCACAAATCCCAGAGTCTCATGCATGCTCATCTCCGAACTCCTGTAATCTTTCCTCCCTATTTTTACCAGTGTTTTTAAAAATGGCTGACAAGTCAGACCATGGCGCTGTTCGGTGGATGAGACAAAATTATTGATTGCTAAAATGTATGGGGACAAGAAAACGTACAGCTTGAATTGAAGGGGTCTGTGCACCCCAAAGGCAGCCTTACACGAGTAACAAAACTTTAAAATAAGACTGTTATTCAGGCCCCATACTGATTCCAGGTATCGGTACTTACTCACCCCTGGTAAGCATAGTACTGTATGGTCCGGTGTAGAGCTGTTTGTAAAGAGATATTAAGGTAATCAACCACAGCATAAAGCTATGGGAGGAAGTGTTTGAAGCTTGGTTTAGAGTTACGCCATGAAAGAGTCCAAAATACAATTTTGATGTGTGAAAGATTGTAGCGAGCTGCACTGTCTTTGTGGAGCTTGAGAAAGCCTATGGTAGAGTGTACATCAAGATTTTCTAAGGGTTAAAGTCAGCTTTAAGACCTTTCACCTATTGCATAGATATATTTATCATTGAGCTCAGACCTGAAATCATTTACAATTACAGCTGTGTAATCTATAAAAAAATAGGCAACAGTTGATGTGTTCAAAAAAAGTTGAGAGGGAACCCAAAAGAGAAAATTTAAAATAAGCCATCCACTTCACAGCTATGCATTTTGGGGAAACAAAGTCTTTAAACTCACCTTTTTATAGATTAAGTGACACATGGCCACTCTGAGCCTCCAGCCTTGCCTTTGAAGGTGGAAGAAGTACTGGTGATGGACCACTCCAACAATAACGCTACAGAGGGACAGTACAGCCCCGTAACCGAGGACCTCATGATAAGCCTCCTTATCATTTGGGTCGTAATTTTCAAAATACTCAACAATCTTTCCCAGGAAAATTGGCTGGATAGTCTTTAGCATTTCCTGGTGTGAGAGGAAAAAAATTACGTGAGTTTTTTTTTAATTAGACTGAGCTCAAATTTCATTCACATTATACTATCAATTAATTAAATATAAATAAAAAATAGGACTGAATATACAAATTTAAATAAATCAACAGTATCACTAAAATTCACTAAACAAATTTAAACTTGGCTTACAAAAGATTTTCACATTCCCAGGCTAAAAACTGAAAGTATTAAGTAAATCTTGGGAGTTTTACTGCAGTCACAAAACGCTCCCGTCATCTTGATCGTTAACTTTAAGGTGTTTTATATTATTATCGCAAGTTGCAGTGATGTAACACAATCAACAACTAATAAATAAAATAAATAGTGACCCTGCAAGATTCACAGTCTTTGTAAAATCTCTATTTAGGATGTGACTAAAAACTCTACAAACTTGTCTTTAGATGTGAGCAGGTGTGAGCTGATAGTTTTCCAAGAGTTTTTTCCATGTCTTTTAATGTATGGGTAGCGTTACCTCAAATATGGCAACAAATACTAGCAATGTATTAGCTTTCCAGATAGATTTGGCAATGACTCTTCTGAGACTAGGAGTCTTCATTTCTTTTTTAGCCAAATGCAGCTCATAATCCCAGCATCTGTAGAGTAGAAATACAGGTTTCTTCATCACATAAAGGTGACAAAATGTGATCACTACAACAATTGGTGTCTGAAATAGATGAAATAGATGAAATACAAAAAAAAAAAAAAAATTTATAAGAAAATTGCTTGAAAGTATTTTGAGACTGTCAAATCTTGCCTTCTCCAGCTAGGTTAATTACATGTTTATGTTCTTTTTTTATTTTGAGATGAATGAAAAGAATGAACTACCGCTGCATGGCCTGACCAAGTACTTCTGACTTGTCCTCCACAAGAACTTCATACATATCCTGCTCTTCCAGCGTGTGTTGATTGGCGATGCGAAAAAAAGGATTGAGCCACCTAAGCAGAAGAATTAGGAGAGTTGTAAAAAAAAAAGACAAAGAGAGAGAGACAAACAGCAATTCTATATACGTATACCTAGGTCTATATAGGTCTATTGTCATGCAGCACCATAATGGCAGATAAACTGAAAAAACTGTATTTTACTTATATGTCTATATACTCTGCATACCCTTCACATGCATTTACTGGAAAATCAGAATAATAAATAGGATATTTGTATAACAACAAACCTATTTATACCTTTATATATAAGTACATATATTCACATTATATATAGTATATATTTTTCACTTTTACGATATTAAGTCATAAGTCATACTACTACTTATGTAAATGTTGTTGGCTCGCTTTTCCAGAAAACACCTTCAGCGAGTTATTGTGGGTCCTTAAATCACATTAAAAACATGTTTTTCCCCCTGTAAGCCGCCTGGTAATTACATTTTGACCCATTTTTGGCTAACTAACTAGTTTTATTATATACAGAATGTCCGCTCAATTAGGGCTGTCGTTTTCAGGGGCCGTTGCCATTAAAACGTGCACGTTTGAATTGCAGACCTACGTCCGTGTTAAAAAAAAAAAAAAAACTTACCAGAAAAAAAACTTGGACAAATACCCCGCGGTGGCCGCAGGGTTGGTTTTAGCATTTTTGGTAACCGTTTCCATATTCCTCCTTGGACCTCGGCCTTCAGGTCCAGTGTCTATGAAGCCCGCGATGTGCCAGAGACCTGCGCAGACAGCAGAAGGCTCGAGTCATCTGAGAGGAGTAGAGAAGCTAATTATGAAGACAACACCTAGGCTAAGCATTGCTGACAGGTCATTGGTTAAAAACCTAAGGTGGCCCTCAGCTATTGGCAGTTATTTCTGGTATTTTCAGCAATTAGGTGTTGTTAAAAAAGCTAAATACTGTTACAACCTATTGAAGAAAAAATAAATTATAAAGAAACATATATTTAAAAAAAATATTTGCAATATTTTTTATGGTTATTTCTATTTCTATTCAGATGAAAACAGTGGATAAACCACAGCAGAGGATACTGTTTGAGATCGATGCCTGGAGAACTTGGTGCTAGAACACACAAAGTTGGTGAGTGGCTCAACATTTAACATCTGAGATCCAGAATAGTGAACCCTAAAATGGTGATGTTGACTTTTAGACGTCTTGATCTGAATAGTTCTGTACCTCACAGTCCCACAAATTCACAATTTTCCATCTTTATTGTGTGCTGTGCATATGCAAACTCCCTTTGGCTAACCCTCAAGACAGAACAGTGCCATGTAATGTGTGTTAGAGATAAATAGAGCAAAGAATATTATGTATTGTAAACCAGTTTTACCAGAGTTTCTTTTTTTTGTTTGCAGAACTGTTGGGTTCTGCTTCACTCTTTTGGACACTGGTATATTCATTAGCAAATGCAAATATATTTTAGGATTATTGAGAGTCATATATTTATAGAGAAACGCTTCCAGAGCTCATGACCTGAAGATACAGTGAAAATGAGGGTGAAGTGTTGAGGTGAAGTGGTGGCAGGTTGACATGCAGGTTACGACTGTAACAAAAACAGATTAGTTTTCAGATTACTCACGTCTTTTACAGGATGTCGTTTGTCTTGAGGTATAAACTGTCAAAAACCTAGATTTGGAGTTTTCTGTAGAACATATAAGAAGTGTTACTGGAAAGTTTCCTTTCTGTTAGTTTCCAGAGGAATCCCTTTGTTTTAAGAAAGATAAGCTTAATTAGTACATTTATAACTCCAGGTACAACTAAAAATTGTCATTTGTCCCTAAAGGTGAAGTGTGCATTTTTAACTTGCAGTTTTACGACTAACTTTAACAGACAACCTCATTCCTCCAAGGGGCAGCCTGTTGCAACAGACTGCTGTTGACACAATGCAACATTAATAAGTTTCAAATTATTATTATTAATTATCATTATTAACATTTTTCTCCAACCATTCTGGGGTTTTTTTCCTTACTGAACTGACCGTTGGTGACCTTTTTGGGTTGTTCTCCTCTCCCTACATCCTTAGACTTTTATGGTTTCATTAGTCCCATGACCGCTGAGAGGGTGGTGCCGTCAGGGATCTGTTTTTACATGAACTGTGTGTTCTGACACTGACATTCTTATTATGAAGGTTGCTGGTTCAGCACAGAACAGAACAATGACACACCGATTAAAGCTCATAGAGAACAAGAACATAAACACTGTGCCACATGCTGCTAGTGTTTTCAAATCATAAACAAGCAGACATGAAAGTAGCAGCCGAGATACAGTATTTACGCCAAGCGTGCTACTACTGTCTGCTTTAGAATGCAAAACAAGTATTGCATGTATGAATTCAAAGAAAAAAAGTTTTTTCCCAAAAAGCTTGGGAAACATTTTTCTTTCTCCCACTTGGTGGCGCTGTTACGCACACATGCACACATCAGTCACTTCTTTCATGCAGTCTTCACAATCTTATGTTTCCCACTCTTTTCAAAACCTTCCAATTTAAGACCTGCTCTCACTACAGATCCCCTTGCACGCCATTTGGACAACGTGCAGAGTGATGGCTGCCGTGTGTGCAGCCCCCTCCCTCCTTCAGCCAACCTCAACCAATCCCACACGCACAAAATCAAGCACACACCACCTGAGTTTGAGAGGATGCTTGGCAGAGTAGGTGAAAGAGAAGCAAAGTTCTGCTGAGCTGCCAACGCTGACGCACCTGTCCAAAATTCGACCCTCCCACCTCCACCTTGACACATGTGAGGAAAGACCTCTGTCCTCTCTCTGCTCAGACCCTCAAACCAGACGTTAACATGGGCAACATGGCAACAGAGATTGTTGCCTTTTTGCTGACCGTCAGTGGGTGGATTCTTGTATCATCAACTCTGCCCACAGACTACTGGAAGGTGTCTTCTGTAGATGGGACAGTCATCACCACGGCCACGTTCTGGTCCAATCTATGGAAGACTTGCGTCACTGACTCTACAGGAGTTTCAAACTGTAAGGACTTTCCCTCAATGCTGGCTCTAGACGGTGAGTACTGAGTATTGCTGTCCAAACTCAAACGAAGAGCATTTTTTAAAATCTTTTTCTTTGGTCATGGGAAACTGGTGGATACACACCAGACTTAATCAGTTAAGTCCAACCAAATTTTCCAACCTTTGTCGTTTGGATGAATAAGCACCATTGTCATCAGATTCGTCGGAACTTGATCTTTTCCTTTTCTGACACTGGCTCCAGCCCATAAACGCGGGCTCCAGAAGTGGACCGTTACAACATCCTAATTGGGCACAATGATGCAATCTGAGAAAGTCATACGGTCAAAGTGTGGTCACCACTTCCTCTTCATGAAAATTCACCATCTACATACATTTCCCCCAATGAATCAAAACAATTGCATCCAATCTCTTGACTGCTGCCACCTGTGAGCAGAGCAGGTCCCTTCACTGTCCATTTAAAGTTGGTTGAAATCCTTAATAAATCTTTCTAAACCTGGTGGATCTAAACAAAATTTAATTTAATTTTTATTTTAATATTTTAATGATCAAATCATTTGTCCCAGGCAGGATTAGCAGTGATTTCTGTAGATCTGTTAAATGGACTATTTATAACCTGTGAAAAAATCAGAAGGGTTAAAAAGTGTAAGTTGACTCAGTCAAAGCTGTTTTTTCACCTCACTGCTTAATTAAGGATCATGTTATTATTTGGTCTTGATATCCCATGTTGACATGAGAGGATATGTTACATTTAACATTCAATAAAATTCCTTTATCTTGTCAAAGAAACATACAGTTATAGGTTTTTATAATTCTATATAATTCTATTTTTACTGGTTGAATTTATTACTAATCATATTACATCACACATTTCAGATTACTTTTTGTTTTGCAAAGGGGAACATGCCATGCATAGCTGCATGCATAAATGTAACTATTGCGTAAACACTGGTCTATAGAGAAGACTGAATCATAGGATATTCCAGAGATGAAAACCATTCCCCTTTCCCCGGCCATCAAGCTTATATCCAGGTGTGTCGGGGTCTGATGATCGCTGCGGTGTGTTTGGGCTTCTTTGGCTCCATCCTTGCCTTGGTGGGAATGAAGTGCACAAAGATTGGCGGCTCAGAGGCCACCAAGGCTCGCCTGACGGTTCTCTCAGGACTCCTCTTCATCCTCAGTGGTAAACCTGCTTTAAATACTTTGTAGTTTTTTCTTTTCTTGTCTATTTGGTAACTGCCACTCTCTCGTCTTTCCATAGGTCTGTGTTGCATGACTGCCTGCTCCATATATGCTCACAGGATCACCACTGACTTCTTTGATCCTCTCTTTGTTGCTCAAAAGTAGGGTTGTTTTTTTGTTTTGTTTTTTGTCCTGATGAGAAGATAGATACATATCAGCTTTGAAATCAATTTTAAATTCCTCTCCTTGCCATTGTGTCAGGTTTGAGCTGGGCGCTGCTCTCTTCATCGGCTGGGCTGGATCTGTGCTGTGTGTCCTGGGAGGCCTAGTCTTCTGTCTCTCTCTGTCTGAGGGATTCATTGACAGGTGTGCTGCTTTGTTATAAATTTGCTGTTAATGATTGAATCCTTAGTCTGACAGGAACTCGAGGGGCATGGAGAAACTCCCATGTGCTGTAGATCTACCTGCAATACAGAGGAGGGAAATGTCCAAAGATTTTCATTTCATGATTTGGGATCTGAATGAAGTGACAAAACATGGAGGCATTTTAAAAAAATGCCTGGAAAACATGATTACGCTACAATGCTGAAGATTATGGATTATTTGGTGATTGAAAAGGTAATAAAGGTTTGACATTAGAGCACTCAAACACAGCACCTCTAAGTGTTGTTTTAACGTTACACCACCACTGGCCAAAGCAACAGGTTAGACTTTATCCCTACAAAGCATTTACATGCAAGTGAGTTTTTGTTGTGTTTCTTTCAGGACTGAATTATCCTACAGTGGAGCTGCATCATTTGTGGAAACACAAAACAAACACAACAAGATGACCAACAGTCTTCACAAGGAAAAAGAGGAGCCATTAAGGCAGTTTGGTAGAAATGCTTATGTTTGAATAAGGGTTTTAATCACTTACTGTTACAGCTGTAGAGTATGACTTACGTAAGGTTTAACTGTGTATGTAATTGCTCTATCAACATTTGGTTAAGGTAAATATATTTGTTCTGGTGGGGTTCATGAGGAAGCACAACACACCCAAACACACACACACACACACACACACAGACTCACACACACCACTCCTGCTGATTAAGGTTGTGTATTAAAATAATGAAGCTGTTTAGTTCCAAACTACTGTTGTTAAGAGAAGTTAAAGAAGTATATGGAAGAATATGGTCGAAAACCCAAGAGCAAAGGTCTGGAGTCTGGAACCAAACCCACATCCTTCCATCCGAGAGTCAACTGTATGTCTTAAAAATCCTTAATGTCAAGAATTAGCTGAAGAATTCAAAATTTTAGCCACTAGTTTTCGATTATACAAATAAGAACATGTTGAACATTTTCCAGCCCATTTAAATAACAATAAACACTTTTTTGCCACTGAATGTTTTATGAGCCTTCAATGTAACAGGTCTTTTATATCTACTTTATTTGATTACCTACTCTTGTTGTTTAGCTGCAATAATGAGTTCCTTCTGTGTGGCTTAAGAAGAATTTCCATACTTTCTTATAAATTAGTCTTTAAATTAGCTTTTGGCACAGACATTCCTGTCACTTGAAAAAACAGAAAGTGTTTTGCGTTGTCTTCCAAAACAGAATGTTTACCGTCATTTGCAAAGCAAATACAACAAAGATTATTCAACTTTTGCCTTTTCCTTGCCATACCCACATTTCACCAGTTGGTGACATAGAAAATGATAAAAGTATTTCAGCATTTTAGTCGTTATGCATGACTTTAACATGTAATTTATCTTAGTTCATGCGAACGCTCCACCTATCTGCTCCTGACCCGGACCCCCTGTCAAATATTAGTACTCATTGTGGCCCACGAATCAATAAGTTTGCCCACGTCTGGTTTAACTCCATGCTTTTGTGCTGATCTGACCTCCAAGGGTCACTACATCACATCTGAGCCCTGAGCTGCAGAACTGGAGACCTGAGCGGAGGTTTCCCCTCATCTATCAGTCATCTATCTCCACCTGGGAATTATCAACAGCAGGAACCCCAGGCTATGTTACACTAAACCTCTTGGCCCACAGGTTGGATACTGGAGGCAGGCTGGCAGAGAGCTGTGGCCCTGTGCTTTTCCACAGTCCTGCATCCGTAAATAAGTGTCAGGTGTCCAGGACTCTGCCCACAACACTGCTTGATATAATGACACTATTGTATGATGGGATGTCAGCATTACTCTGTAATTACTGATGATAACGGTGACAACAACCTAAAATTAAAAAGTAATTCTTCAAACTTTTTTGTTTTTTATGAGTAAAGTACAAAAGGCTCAAACTAATCTGAAGAGTCAGGCATATTTCAACACTTCTTTAAAGTAAGGAACAACTTTCAATTAATTCCCACCAAGATGATTTTGTCTCCGCTGGGACGGGACTTGACGCAGGGTTTCACTGTGTGGTGAGTGTGATGATTGGACGGAGTGTTTAGGTGGGAAAAGCACCAAAATGGAAAATCCAAGAGAGACATTTTCTGTCTCAGTCCTGGGGAGTTTAGAGTTTACAAGTAAAGTCTAGAAACAACCGCAGCCTGTAGTTCAGTGTTTACTTGTTGAAAAAACAAAAACAAACGAACAAAAATAAAACCATGGGTTTAGGGTGAGAGAGACAATTCTCCAAAATCAGAATTTAATTTAAACAACTGGAAACAAAATCAGAATTTAATTTAAACAACTGGTCTTAAAATCACTTAATGACCTAATTTCAGATCAGATACTCTCTTTAAGGATAAAATTAAAATGTCACAACACATCATCGCTTATTGAACAGGTTTCCGGCTGCTGTTTTCTTAAGTGCAATAACAATTGAATATAAAAGAAATAACATTTAGTCCGAAAATCACACAGCAGTAAAAAGAAAGAAGGGTAGATGAAAAATTAAAAGAAAGGAAAGGCCACTGCTGCGGCCTGTTTTACCTTACCTAGTGCAGTGAAAACAGGATTTAATGCCGTGTGCCTCCAACTGCCATCACTGCACCACTAGAATGCACTATTGAGGCAGATTTAATCAAAACCCACTCTCACTGTGTCCTTGTTCTACGTCCTCATTAAATCATTGCAAAAACAATTTTAGTCTAAATGAGCACTTGCTTACATTTATGTTTGCTTTCATGCTTTCTATCAGTCTAAAAATTTAATTCTAACTTAGCTTCTTTTTTTTTTTCTACCAGGGCCTCACATTTTTGAAATATCTCCCCACGGCCACCAATAAGTCAGCCATAAGCTGAGGGGACAAGAGGAGCTCTTTCATCCCTGCTGGTGCCATTCATGCCTTACAGGAAATCTCATTAGCTCAGATTCTGGACCTTTATTGAGGGCCACAGTACAGTGTGGTCTAGGTAGAATTAATAATAACTAGCAGCCTATGCCTCAGCAGCTACGCTTGTTTGTGTTGTGACAAATCAAGGGGATCATGAAAGGTCAGAACAATGCAGTGACCTCAGTCAAGACAAAACCATGTCTTATTATTTATTTATTTTTTTACGTGTGACAAAAAACATATATAGTCATGTAAATGTAATCATTAAGTGACTTCAAAAAAAAATTGACATTTTTTATATCACAAAGAATCACATGTTGTGTTTACTTGGAAGAAATAAAATAGAGAATCTATCAGAGGAAGCACCGAAGAATTGCGTAACATATCAGGTGGTTTTTGTAAAAAAAATATAATGAATATTTAAACTTACATATTAGTAAGTGTGCCACCAAAATTAGGATTTTGGGAATTTCACCGAAGAACAGCGGATATGAAAAACTGACAGGTAAGACACAGTTTGAACGCCTTAACATACCTGCTGACCAATCACAAGTGAGAACTCAAAGGCTGGGAAATAACCCAGATGATGTCACGGTGATGTTATCAGAGTAAACTAGCCCTGGCTAAAGCTCTCATTTGAATTTCAACATTTAATAAATGGTAATCTTAATTTCATCACGTACAGTGTATTTTTAAATTATTGTCTTGTTACATTCAGAACTGGTATAAGTATATATATATATATATATAAAAGTATAAAAATATCGTCATTCTTACTGGAATTACACACGTTTTAGATTAAGAAGTGTTAACTTTCATGTGTTTTGGTTTGTTAGCAGCAATAAGATCCTATTTAAGAAAAAATAATTCTATCCTGTCTCTGTTACAGTCCAGAGCAGCTGGGTGAAGGTCTGATGTCTTTGGTTATTGTTGACACACGCTGAGGTCAGCACTTTGATCTGATAGAGTTTAACTGTGGGAACCAGAGGAACTGTTGACTCTCACCTGCATGATGGTGATATCAGATCAACACCAACCGCTCCTCACTTCTCTGTAGCTGTCACCCAGTCCTGTCCTCTGTCAGGAGCAGGACAAGGACTTGTCTTCTTCTGGAGACATGTGGCTTTGGTATTTCTGAGGAAATTCCAGCTCAACACGACAGCAGCAGGGACTAAACTTTACTTTAAGAACAGGCTGAGAGTGAAGGTGCGGTATGAAGATCCGTGTGGTTCAGATCTGGGGTTTCCTGATGACGGTGTTGGGCTGGATCTTCGTGGCTTGCACTATGGCCATGGAAGGCTGGAAGATTGCCGCGGTTGGAGGAATGGCCGGCTCCTCCCTACTGAAGGTGGCCTGGTACTGGTCCAGCCTCTGGAGGTCATGTTTTACCGACTCCACAGCTGTGAGCAACTGTTACGACTTCCCTGTGCTCTGGTCAGTGGAGGGTGAGTAAGAAATGAACTCTCACTGACACACCTAGATGTTCTGTTGTGTTCTGTTGTGTTCTTCAGTGCACTGTGTTCTGCTGTGTGACTCCAGGCCACGTCCAGATCGTTCGAGGCCTCCTGATGGCAGCTCTCACCACAGGCATGTTGGGCTTCGTGCTCAGCCTCATTGGTATGGAATGCACCTTTCTTGGGGGGAAAGATCTCTCAAAGCACAAGAAGATCTACGCTGGGGGTTTGTGCCACATTATCAGCGGTAAATGTTTTGTTTTTTATAATGCTGTAACATTTCATTTCTGTTGTAGTTAATTGTAGTAAATGACTCCCAGTGTATGGAGAAGCTGAGTCAGCATTAACTGTCCAGACTTTGAATCCACCAAATCCATCTCTGTAACTGTGAACTGGTGTTGATGTCACTGCTGCTCCTTATGAACAAAGATTTATGTTCTTGTTACGCTTATTTACGGTCTGTGGACGAGACTGTGTCAGTTTAAGAGACGACACGTTGTTGTTGTTGTTGTTTAGGTTAAGTGTAATAACAACAACAATTGTCATGATTATTGTTTGTTGTTGTTATCATTATTATGGTTTTATTCATATAAATGAATTGTGCTTTTTATTTTCATTATTATTGTTGTTGTTGTTATAATTGTTTGGACAGTAAATATATATTTAGCTAGGTAAGATAAGGTTAGGTCAGGATGTTAGACTGTAAGTTCCACCTACACCTAACCTAAAACTTGATGATCTGTCTCCAGGTTTCTTGTCCTCCTGTGGTTATGTGGTCTATGCCCAGTTTGTCTCAGTAGATTACTTTAACCCAGACTTTGATGGACTAAAGTAAGTCACTGATGACATTTGAACTATAATGGTTTGTGGGTTGTTCTTTTTTTGTTTGTAAGAAGAACACCCCCCCACCACCACCACCACCCACCCAATGTGTTTTTGTCATATTATGAATTAATGTAAAATAGTAAAAAAAAAAAAGAAGTTTGTATTTGACCTTAGGTTTGACCTCGGCACCCCTCTTTTCCTCGGCTGGGTGGGCTCGGCCTTTCACATGGCTGGAGGGTTTTTCTATCTGTGGTCAGTGTGCACACCCCTCTGTGGAAGAGAACATAGGTGAGTATATGGACGTGTTGTTGTTGATGATGATCATAATGATGTTTCCAATAAATTTTAAAAGTGTAAAGCAATCGTTAAAGTAACTTATCTGTTTGACGTCGAGTATTGAACTGGTTGCACTTTCTTTTAAAGTAGCCTTTTTCAATGGCGTTGACAAAGTTCAAACATCTGTGACAAAAACAAATTTAAGTTCTCAATAATTCAATTAAGAATAACACTGAGCACCACATCATATTCAGAGAGTGATTGATGCCAGAAAGTCACCTGTTAATAAAAGACATTTATAAAAAGAATAAAGCAACTTTCACACTACAGTATAGAATATGTTTGTGTAGCAGTGGAGCACATTAAATGATTTTAGTGGACTTACCACTATTGTTTTCACACGAGCCAGTAGTAGTCCATGACCCAGTGGTTGGGAATCTCTGGTCTAGGAAGTTAATGAAAGCCAGCCACAATCATTTGACTATTCTGAGCTCTCCTGCTCCACCTTCAGGTGTTTCTCTGACCTTCTCTCTGTCTAGGGTGATTACCATCAGACCAGAACCAGATCCAGAGCAGAACAACTCAACAGCTGCTGTACCCACAGTGTCAGAAATCACCTCCAAGACCAAAGTGTCCTCTGTGACTGAACTCTCCTCTGGATCTGCGCCCTCAGACATCTCTGCCATTTCCTCCCGGTCAGAACGCACATCAAAATCTGGACGCGCAGCCAGGTCAGGACAGTCAACAAGGACTGGGAGAACAAGTCGGTCTGCAGGCTCAGAGTCAAGGTCAGGGGCAGGCTCAGAAGCAGACTTTTCTATGAGGTCCAGTCTCCCAACTTTGTCTGAGTCCAGGAGCAGCAGCAGTGGCAGCAGCAGCAGAAGCAGCAGCAGCAGAAGCAGCAGCAAAGTGTCGTCTTTATCAGGACGTTCAAGAACCACAGTTGCAGCATTTATGAAAAACTCTTACATCTGAAGTGATGTAGTAGTAGCGCAGGTGTGGAATTTCATTTCTTACATTTGTCTTTGGGTCAAAGTGATTCTGGTTAAATATATCCTCCTGAAAAAACATTTCCCTCATTTGTAGAAAGTCAATCGCTTTATTTTTTGTCAGACACAGTGGTGATGTCGTGATGTACGGTAACTATGGTAAAAAGTCATTCCATTTTGAATAGTTTTTCTTTGTTATTAAAAAAAAAGTCTCTTTATTTGCCTTAGCTATTTTTTTCCTGCTCATTCTCAGATGTGCCACTGGGTGGTGCTCACGACCAATCCACTACCAATATCATGTTATTGATAATCCAACTTTTTCTACCTTTTCAAAGCTACAGTAGAAATATCATGAGTTTTAACAATCTGTAGCATGTTCCTGACGATTCTTCTTTAAAAGCAAAAAATGTTATAATTTTTTAACCTTTTTTTAAATTTTTTCTAGTGTTCTAACTAATCACAATAAAAACTCATAGTTGAGTTTAAGAAAAGAACAAAAAGTAAACTCTTATCCATAGAGGTTTCAGTACAGAGAGTGCCACACCTTGGGCCTGCCCCCCTCAGGTTTGCTCCACCTTAAGGACAACAAGTCTCTGAGCTATGTCCAGTTTTTGACAGCACCACATGTGCCCTAGATGCGGATAGACCACCAGTGTGCATTCTGGAAACTTCAGGTGGATCCACTGGTGATATCAAACAAGTAAAGGGAAAAACCTGCAGGTACAGAATGGCCTTGGTCTGGAGACAAAAAAAGGACATGGCTTAGAGCGGTCCTGAAGAACATGAACAAAGCTGAAGAGGCACAGTCTTCATTTTCAATACAATACTTTCAAGGCACCTTGGTCATCAGCCCCACGTTATTAAACATAAAGCACACGCACACAACCACACACTCATATTTAGATTGATATAGACCATTGACAGTCTATAAATATTCAACCTTAAAATACCCTTTCATCCAGCTGGTTCAAAATGTCCTCACAAGAACAATGTGTCGATAAAATACTATTTAAAAAAAAAATCCCACAAGTAGTCTGTGTAGGTTCTCAGTTATCCAGGTCAGAAGTGAAGAAGCCTCTTGGATGAGAGGAGGACCTACTTCATCCAGTTGTCCTCGATGTAACTATTTTTGGGTCCCTACATGTAGCACTATACCAGGTTACACATGCACACGTACAAATCGACGTACAACACCCCTGTACACGTGAATATATACACACTTATAGTCCACAAATCACTTGGCTAGAACTTACTTTATCCTCTCTGTCCTATTTGTGAACCACTTAAAACTACTTCAAGTCCTAATTATTGAGATTTTCCACAAAAGTACACCTATCTCCTCAGTCCCTCTTGAAGACAGGATTCATTAGAACAAAAAAAAAAATCAAAAAATTTAAGATGTCCTCTAGAGTTCATCTTCATCGGTGATCTCGGACATTGCAAGGCTGGACTCTCTCAGACTGGGAAGGAGCTTCTGCATCTGTCAGGACTCCTCTCTGGCTTCCTCGTTGATCACATGTTGGTATCCCTGTGTGTTGATTGGGGTCTTTTGCCAACAAATGATTCCGAGGAGAAGAAGGATGAGGAGCAGCAGCAGGCAGATGGATATCACCAGACTGAAGATAACTCCTGAGGATGAGAGAGAGGCAGAAAAGCACGACCATCAGAGCACAGTAAACACAGAAAACAAATATAGTTCACAAATAAAACTGAGGTCATGGGTCCGTTTTTAGGACCATAAATGAGATTGTGGATCGTTCATGTGTGAAATTTCTCCTTTTCCTCCCTCAACCTCCCATGTCACCCTTCTGTCCCTAACGCACAGCTCTGCTGCTTTGAACCAGGTTTGAACCAGTGTCTCCTATAATTTTAGCAGATGTAGCTGTAGTTAGTTGTAAGAAACCCTCAGGCTGCCCCTCTGTCAAACTGTCACCGACAACCTCTCCTCTGGTGTTCTCTGATAATATACCAGGCCTTGGCCGTCACTCTCTTTAATTTGAAGATTATATTCAGGCTTCCTCATTATCAGAGATTCTGGAAAACACTTTCACACACAAATAAAGTCTAAATAATTTTGGGGTGATTTTGAAATGTAGTCGCAGAAGACTGCTTGCACTGAACTTCCCTTTTAAAAGTGTTTTTATTGAATGATAGCCACTTTGTAGTTTCAGTGCCAATTGACTTGAGGGATATGAATCACAGTACCCTCCTCCTTGACCTGGCATTGTCATTTTGATGCAGACCACATTTATGTTCAACTACATCGGCCATAATTATCATTTCCCAAACCAAAAGCATGCCTCCATCCACCTACAGTTAAGACACACTGTACCAACAGCCACAATAACAACCAAAAAATACACATAACAGAATTCCAGTTGCCTACTTTTAAACCTGCTTTTTGAAACACAACAAAATAATAATCAAGTACAAGGGAATATAAGTAAACATAACCAATTATAGACAAGACTTACACACATCATCACACATCTCATTCCCTGATTTTTTTTTCTCTCTGAAGGTTAAAGGTGTGAAGATTTGTTCTGTGCCCGCTCCAGTGGTAGTTTTGTGTGCCTCAGGAGCAGTTTCAGGATGTCAGACAATCAATTCTCAAAAAAGCTCAATCAAATTCAATCCCATCCACACCATTAAAGTGACACACCTCATGTTTAAGAGTCCATATCTTCTCTCCAGGTTTCATTGCTGTTTTCAGGACTTTAATTTGGAGCGAGGCAGCGTTGTTATTGAAAACCTTGTTTCTGCTTCAGTGACACGCTGAGCGTCAGAAATGTTTCCTGATACTTTAGTCGTACGCCATTGGAGCAGTGGTCAGAACTGACTCTCCCGCTAATGTTGTTTCTATATGATGCTTCATCCTGCCGCGTCGAGCTAGAACTTGCCTTGTCACAGTACATGGCATGAATGCTAGCTGAGAATGTCCCACTTATACTCACTGTTGGTAATTCCAGTATTCTTTACCTTAAATAAGTGGTGTCCAAACTATGAAACTTTGAAAAGAAAGCCAGATTTGGTGAGGTGAAAATGTATGGCGGCCGATCATTCAACCTAACATTCTTTGAACCATTACTATTGTAAATCAACATGTAAATATGTAACTACAGTGGTATGAAAAAGTATCTGAACCTTTTGGAATTTGTCACATTTCTGCATAAAATCACCATCAAATGTGATCTGATCTTTGTCAAAATCACACAGAAAAAAACAGTGTCTGCTTTAACTAAAACCACCCAAACATTTATTTTAGGTTTTCATATTTTAATGAGGATAGCATGCAAACAATGACAGAAGGGGGAGGAATAAGTAACTGAACCCTTTGCCTAAGGAGACTTAAAGAGCAATTGAAACCAATTTTTACCAAACAATTTAAGTCAAGTGTGTGCCCAAACACTGATGAGTGGCTTAAAGCTGCCCTGCCCACTATAAAACACACACCTGGTAAGAATTGTCTTCATGAGAAGCATTGTCTGATGTGCACCATGGTTCGCTCAAAAGAGCTGTCTGAAGACCTGCGATCAAGAATTGTTGATTTGTATAAAGCTGGGAAAGGATACAAAACCATCTCTAAAAGTCTGGATGTTCATCAATCGACAGTCAGAGAAGTTGTCTACAAATGGAGAGAGTTTGGCACTGTTGCTTCTCTCCCAAGGAGTGGCCGTCCACCAAAGATGACGCCAAGAGTTCAGCGCAGAATACACAGAGAGGTAAAAAAGAACCCTAGAGTGTCTGCTAAAGACTTACAGAAATCACTGGCACAGTCCAATATCTCTGTGCACACATCAACTATATGTAAAACAATGGCCAAGAATGGTGTTCATGGGAGGAC